AAGACCACAAGGCAGGTCAAGAAGAGGGTAGAGAGGTAATGTACAGGCATTCCCACATGTGGAGTCACCTGTACATTACCTCTTGCAAGAAAAGGTCAATCACAGAGATGAAAGGAGGAGGGTGATATGGGCAGAAAAAGCAAAAAAAGAAGAAGAAGAAGATACAAGGCAACAACATCACCAAAATATAGACAAATACAAGCGATTAACTCTTTGAGCTGCAAGGAACACATTATACATTCATAGGTTCCCGCCTAGAGGCCCAATGAACGCAAGATGCGCCAATTTTACATCTCTCTTGACTAACCCTTGGGCCTCAAAGAGTTAAAAGCATAGAATACCATTTGATGAAACACATAACAGTAAAAAGTGCTGGTAAATAAATAATATCATATAATGTTGAAAAGAACACCTTGTTATTTAACTCTTTGAGTCCCAGGGGGTTTAGCATCACAGGCCCATGGGGTAGTCAAAAGAGACGTAAAATCGGCGTATCGTGCGTTCATTGGGCCTCTAGGTAGGAATCTATGACTGTATGATGCGTTTCTCGGGACTCAAAGAGTTAAACTTCTCCATTATTTGTTAGAGGAGTTTAAATGACAAATTACATAATTGAGAATGTAGAAACTACCCACCTAAGCCATGTGCATGAGTTCTGTAAGCAAAGGGAAAAATGCTCTGCCCCATACTGAAACGACAGCTGACATCCACTGGATAAGCTGGACAGAAAAGAGAGCACAAACACATTTCATGTTTAAAGTAAGTTAAAGTGAAGAAACATGATCACACCTTCAGTGCATGGAGAATATACTTCTAGACCTGTATCCTTATAGGCCCATATGTACTCGATTGCTGATGTGGTCAACAGTGCATTCACCACTTTTACTTCACAGGAAATCGATACTTCACAGATCCACCTTGGAGTCAGTTTTAAAGAAAAAAATCTGGCTGAATGTGGATTTGAACCATAAACCTTCAGGCTGGCAAGCAAACGTGTAGCCGCCAAGCAATTAAAGCTCCCATTTCACACGTACATGCATTATGGCTACAGTGGCTCAGATAAATGTACAACTTCTTCTTGAGCTGAAATTTCAGCAATCCATACCTGCAAAGGACAGCAGGGCAATCCAGGTAGTATTTGATGTAGCTATTCCGAGGACCTAATTATAACTTCTTAGACGATCGAATGGTGTCTCTGGAGTTTACCCTGTTAGACAATTGGGCAAAACTAGGATGATAAATCTAGGTTGCAACTCTGAACTTAAATTGTATACAAGATAATTTTTGACCAAAGTTTTTTCCCCCTTTTAACTCTCTGAGGCCCAAGCAATACTGTGTGTGTTGACTGTGAAGTTCTGAATTGGCCAAACCATACAGTCTGTGTCGACTGTGTGTCCCGTACATACTGATTCGCATACGGCTCCATATTTAGCAAAGGTTACTCTAATGTTTTTATTTTGTTCACAGTCTTTCTTTGCACATTCAGGTGTTAATTGATTCAATTCATTGCTAGTGTTATTTTCAGACACTGAATCTTCAAATTTTGTCTTTGACTCGCAGTGGATAGCAATGTTCCAAACACAAGCATAGACCGACAAATGTGGCTTTCTGTGGTTGAAGCTTTTAAATTGTTTCAGCAGCCGTTTTTTTAATTCTGACGGTAATAATGAAAACTTAAACTTTTCAGAAAGTTATTCAGATGGTGAATTTACACTAGCGGCAGCTGAGCAGGCAGCTGTTAGTTGTGATGAGGGACCCCTTTCATTTGCGAAGTATGTGATAGTTACCCGTATCTGCATCCAAAGAACTGTTTCAAACAGTACCATACTATGGCTAAGCTGATTTAAATTATTGCAGCTACAGTCCGTATAATTTCACATAGTTAATATTTTGTGTGTATGGGTCCAATTTTCTGCAATTTTTTCTTTAAAATTTTGTTAAGTACTCTGTGAGAACCTAGACTCTGAGTTTAGTTGAGCTGAGTCAAGAATTAACATCACAGCTCTTGGGGCATTACCATGCATGTTCCGTCCTTATCTTCAGCACCCAGCGCAGAGTCCTAATACTGATGGTACTGGCCACAATCTGGTTATATGTCTGTCATGCCCTTCCTCTGAGTGTAGTGAGCAGGCCAGACACTGGTTACATTCAGGTGCCTCGTTCTCTCCAGGCAATAATAATCTTGTTTCTTTACTGATCCAGCTGCTTGTTCCCAAAGGGCTTTGACCTCATCTGCCCTGTCATGCATCAATTCACCACCCAGTGGTGCAGATCCAGCTAATCTGTCCTAGAGACTCTGAGTGATAAACTAACCCAGAAATGTATCATAACTTTTGAATTTGTTAAGAAACTGAACAAACTTTAATGTTATTCTCAAATTTAGACATTCACTGCTCTTGTGGCTACAAAACCATGGTAAGTGAAGATCTGTTTAGTACAATTTTGTCTTTGTAAAACAACACCTGCTGAATTCCTTTTTCCTACCAACTGAAACAATGTTAAATAAAAACATATCATCAGATTCAAAATGTATATTCATTCCTCTTTACAAAAAATATATAATTTTGTAGGGAAAAGAAATATATTACATTCTCAATTTCCTTTTTGTTTTTTACACCACCCCCCTCTGCCATTTTGTAATCTTTGTAAAGAAAAATTAATCTGAGCTAAGTCTCTCAAAATTCAAGGGTCTGAAAGAGTAAACCCGGTAATCTAGGAAAAAATATAAATAACACATAACTAGAGAATTCTCAAAAAAATCCTTGAACAAATCCACCCACCCGCCCGCACGGACGCATGCACGCACGCACACACACACAACCACTTATCAAGCAAAACAGTAATAAATTCCATTAGGAATATGGGAAGTCATCAGTAAACATGGAGGTAGCAGAGAATAACTGGGTCTCATCTCTGTGAGTCTTAAAAAATTCTCTTATGATAACTAATTTCTGACCCTATGAGTGGCTGCAGGTTAACACTGACTAACAGGAAAATTAGGATGTCATATTTTCTATTAATAAAGGCATTTTTCACAGAAAAACCCCTCTAACTGCTATTATTAGTAACTATAGTTATTCAAGACCCTATAGCCATTACAGGACCCTAATTAATATTTATTTCGAGGTTGAACAGGGTATCTAGAATCTGCCTTGTTAGAATGTCATCCAGAATAAGATTTAAATGCCGTGCAATAAGACTTTCAAGAATCTACTCGTTGTCTTTCCTTAACACTCCTTCCAAAGATCTTTCTAGTGGTCACAACATGTTCCATTTTCCCTCTTCTCATAACATGGCTGAAAAATGATGACTGTCTCCTTCTGATGTCTGTGATAAGTTGTCTTCAAAACCTCTTGGTTGCTCTTTTTTTGGCTGTCCAAGGTATTTTAAGCATTCTTCTGTAAAACCACATCTCTGAGGCCTCAAGAAATTGTTTGGCCTTCTTACCGACTGTCCACGATTCACAGCCATATGTTAAAACTGGGTGTATGTAGCAAGCAAGAATTCCTTTTCTAACCTTCAATGCAATGACAAAGGTTATCTTGAGAAAATAAAATAAAAAAACACTTATTAGAATAGTAAAACCAGTATCTAGGCAAACAATTCTTACATTTTTGTCCTGGTGGAATGGAAAAGAATCCTGACCCAAGAAAATATATTCCTGCTACATATGGCTGCCTGTAAGAACAGAATAAGACAATTAACAAACAGACACAATGCCTGATAAGATGATGAAAACGTATTATGACCTGCACATAATTATTCCATTAGGGGCATGGTTAAATTAGTTCCTTAGAAAAGACAGGAACAAAGAGACCACATTCACATGATGAGACTTCACAGTGCAGCCGACACACTAATTGTTTTGCAATATAGTTTGGAAAGCTCTGACACAAACAGATACATGAGCCATGGATACTGATTTTCTGATTTCCTCACTGAAGGTAGTTAGAGAGACAGAGAAGACAGCTGGATACATGAACCCTGCAAGAGACACACATCATCATCAGGTGCCTTGCCGACTGGCGTGGGGGAGCATGCCTCTCCACAATCTGCGATCGCCTGCAGCATGTATCAGTTCGTGTGCTGACACACCTCCATGAAATGCAACAAGACTGTCAAGAATCTTTTCTCGTTGTCTTTCTCTATCCCTCCTTCCACAGATCTTTCCAGTGGTCACAACAAGTTCGATTTTCCCTCTTCTTATAACATAACCGAAAAATGATGACTGTCTTCTTCTGATTCTGTGATAATTTGTTTTCGGGCTCCTGCCTCTTTCAAAACCTCTTGGTTGCTCTTTTTGGCTGTCCAAGGTATTTTTAGCATTCTTCTGTAAAACCACATCTCTGAGGCCTCAAGAAATTAATTGGCCTGCCTACCGATTGTCCACGATTCCAGCCATATGTTAAAATTAGACGTATGTAGCAAGCAAGAATTCTTTTTCTAACTCTCAATGACAAAGATATATTGCATAAGACGTTCTTTATTTGATAAAATGCAGTTTTTGATTGTCCTATTGTGTTTCTTATCTCAGTAATGCATCTTCCATCTGATGTTATCCATGAATACATAAATACATAAAATATACACACATAAATAAAATGCTACAGGGTACACAGATGCGTGATCCCCTGCAGGATACACAGATATACATGAACCCTGGAGGATATACAGATACATGAGTCCTGCAGGAGACACATTGGTATATAAATCCCACAGAGTACACAGATGCATGAGCTCCCGCAGGATACACAGATGCACAAACCCTGCAGGATACACATACATGAACCCTGAAGGATATGCAGATACATAAGCCCCGCAGGATACACAGATGCATGAGTCCTGCAGGCTGTAACATATAAAAGTACACTAACTCACTTTTTCTTTGTGATATATGCTCTAATTCCAGAATTGTCAGGGGGGGCTCCTTCTGTTAAATGAATTATACAACACATTATATAAACTACAGTGTGAAATTTGAAAAATGTATTAATACATATTCAGAAAGACAGAAAATATACAAAAATTTGGTAAATAACCATGTTTCCAGAGAAAAACATACAAACTCAGGCACACAGAGAGGAAGACAGACAGGCAGGCAGAAGGAAGGTGGTGCAGACAGAGAGGAGGAGGAGGTAGGGGAAGAGAGACAACTAGTAAAAAAAAAAAAAATCATACAAGTGTACAATAAATAATCATGTTTCTAAAGAAACACACATTATTTTATTCAAAACTATTTTATTTTCAACTACTAAGGCTATGAGGTGGACTGAGCCTTAAAAATGGATACTAATATTTTGTTCATGTTAGCTGACTGTTCGTCTTGAGCAAGTTTGCAATAACAGGTTTTTATTTAACTTAAAAAAGAACAAGTATACAGGTTCTAAAGAGACTGGAATGTAAAGAGATTTACTGAAATAAATAAAAAAAGGAGACTGTAGCAATATTTCGGCCACATTAAAAGACATAGCTATACTTTATAAATCAAACTGGAAGGAAATGTAGATGGTAAGAAAGCAAGAGATAGATAACAATACAAGTGGGAGGACAACATCAAGAGATAAGCAAACAATAATCTGAGAGAGTGTACAACCAAAACAAGAAACAGTGTTCTGGATCCACTGCAACCAACATTTATTGTGGAGAAGGCACCTGATTTATTATTAAGGAGCAGTGGGTTTATTCGTTACTTACTTACTTAGTTGGTCCTCTTTTACCTGGGGTGTAGAGGTTTGCCAGAAAGATCACCAGACTTCATTATCTGCAGTTTTCTTTTGGTTTTATTCCATTCCAATCCTCTGTCAGTTAGGGACTGTCAGATGTTGTCTTCCCAGTGAACCCTGGGTCGTCCTGGTGGTCTGGTTCCCTGGTTCTTGGCCTCTCATGCCTGTTATGATGCTGATTATCTCCCAATATGCACACATGTCCAAACAATAGTAACTGTGACCGATCGGTTCGAGTTTGTAAGGCCTAGGTTTCAAGATCATGATGTATTGTCTGTCAGCAAACTTTGTTCCTTCTTGTCACTTGGACCCCCTTTCTCAGATATCTTATTTGATCCACCTCTTGTTCTATGTTGCTACCCTTTCTTGGTGTATGAACTGTATGGTAGGGCACGCCACAAGGCATTCCCTCTAAATGTACAAACTAACTTATTTGATGTCTTTGCATTAACTTAGAATTTGTTCCATGCCGAACCGGACTTATGACTTTGTTCCTGATTTAATCTCTCTTCTGGTCACTTCTATGGTTTTTCTCAGACATCTCATTTCCTTGGTTACAAGTTTTTTTTCTGGTTTTTTTAGAGTGACCATGTTTGGCACTGATATATTGGGTGGGAATGACTATGCTTTGTATGAGATGTATCTTTTGTGCTGACAGAGACTGCCTTATGCTGTAAGGGGGCAAAGGAAAAAGGGGGCTGGGGGGGGGGGGAGAGAAAGGTGGGGGGGGGGGGGGGGGGGGTCAGTCTAGTTGTTCCAATGCTTGGTTTGTTTTATTGTATCAGAAAAAAATTCCACACCCACAAAACCATTTTTGGTGAATGTCGTTCCTAGAAATTTAAACTCACATGCTTGTTTCATACTTCTGCCCTGCACTGTTATATTTAAACCCCCTGCTACAAAGAATACAATGAGCATGTCATTAAAAAGACTAACTGATATTCTGAAATTTGATGTGCTGGGCTGAGCAGAAGGGTTATCACAGCTTAGCTGTAAACTACAACAAGCCAAAAGCCATTTTAAGGGTAAATGCAGAAGAAGAAGAAATAGTAAACTGGAGAGATTCATACACAAGCCCCATGCCAGGGCAGAAAAAAAAAATGCTAAGCATTAACTGCCCCAACCTGATATTCTACACAAATAATGATAGTGATTAGATAAAGATGAATTCAAAGACAAATCAAACTCACCAGGGAAAGATTTCCCATAGTGCACTTGCAAAACAATTGTTTTAATAGATGACCTCTGACCTATTCTCAAGCCAACATCTGAAAATGTAAAGTAATGATGTTAATAAATTACACACTTAACACATATATATGAATGATGGCACATATATATCAGTGATGGCTCAGATGTCATAACATCTGCCTCTGGTTAGTCAAGATCTTGTTTGATCCATAATAAAGTATGAACCTATTAGAAAATAAAATGTTGCCTGTCTAGGCAGAATGAAACTTATATAATATGTTAATGGAAAACATCAGAGATTCAAAAGTGCTGAATCCATGGGTGGGGTGGTTTTTGCCTATGTTGATATGGTCAAAATTTCCTTTGAAGTCAGAGTGCATCTAGAGAGGCAAGGAACCAACAGTTTGCATACTAATAAGCTGGATCTGTAAAATGGATACGCCAAACTCAAGTACTGAAACAACAACAAAGTCAAGAAGTGGATATACAACCTTGACTTTCTGCTGGAGTTTACAGCCAGTGAATAAGAAGAAAGAGGATAAAATTATAGGATAAAATTATAACTGTTGCAAGGAAATAACTTTACTATGTTGTGACTCTCCATATGTGCAGAGCATGCATTTAGCAACTTATGTCAATCTCTATTCTGAGTTTCAAGCTAGCTGTCACTGTTTAGTTAGCAGCCGATGCAATACATTTTTTCTTGCTATTATTGGTCCTCCTCAACTCAACCTGAGCTGTAGGTACACATAAGTTCTTCCAATGAGTGGCACACTCACAGTCAGCACACACCAACAATCTACACAGTGCTTTGACTTTTTACATAAACAATGAATAAGGAAAAACCAAACTATGAAGAAGGCCATCAAGTAGGCCTGCAGAGACACAAACAAACATGTCAACTTTAACAATCTGTCAAGGAAAAAAAAAATCTTGTCTTTTGGAAGTGAACCAAAAAAACAAAAAAACATTCACATTCTAATGTATTCAAAGACAGCCATATTAAAAAATATCTTTATTCAGGCAATGTTAAAAAGCTGCAAGCTAGCAAACAATATCTAGCTGCTTTTAGGTCGGTGTTTAAAAGGATAATTAAAAGCAAGAGGGTCAATTTAACTGGTCTAGACAATGCAGTTGTGTACTCTTCTAAGGATTTGTCCTCAAGATCATAACCCTTAGACACCAGATAGCAGGTATTACAGTCGATATATAGTGGTAGATTATCAAAATTCATGTATGAGCAATGAGGAAGAAACCCCACCGAACACCCTAATCAAAACCTCTGATTTGTGACAATCTTGTCTGATCTATAATAAAAAGTCTGGACCTGGGGGCTGCGTTAGCACAGTCAATAGATGACTCATTTTTAAATCCAGCTGCGACTGGCTGCAGCCCACGGCCGGTGTTCGAAACAGGGCGGTTCCCAGGGTTCAGCCAGCCTCTAGTTAATGGGTACCAGAGTTAACACTCTGGGATAAATAGAGGTTTGTCCCTGTAGCTAAGGAGTTGCATGTGGATGGCAACAAAGGCAGACAGTTTCTTATCAGCTGTCCGTACTGGTGGCAGAGCACTTATGGTTTATAACCGTGTGCAAAAGGACTGGTTCACATCTCCCAACTTTACCTTTACCTTTACAACTTGTATCATTATATTGAACATGGTTAATCCATAATGGAAAAAAAAAGGTACTGACCCTAATATGGCTTGGTCTCACATACCAGAGCAGCTTTTTGACTGCCAAAACTGCTGAATAACAATGTACAAAACTGTACTGCTCCAGCAATGACTTCCAGGAATCTCCTTAGCACACGTACTTGCAAATAAAAGGATGGAACCACAATCTACATACAGAGTATGTGGTGAATAGCCTAACCACTGTGCAACAGTGACCACTTTTATGGCTATTTACATTTATAGAAAGTCTCTAGAACAATAATAGTGGCGGTAGAAACTAATAACTCTTTGCTTTCTGGAAATAGGAGAGCGGACATGCAACACAGACCCAACAACTATTGTCGCAATAATGGATATGTATATTGACTGACCTTTGGGCAATACTGTTGGTGGAGCATTCTTGGCCCAAGCAAACAGAATGGTTGACTTGTAGCTCTTGCACATGGCAGGACATCGCCTGAAGACATTCAAACTCAATATCAGTGGGGCAAGTTTACACATGTACATTATTTTCTGCTTGATGTTTTATTGAAAGAACACTACTGCACATCAAAGTCGGCAGCTGTCTTTTGGAAGTTTATTAAATGTACTTGCAGTATCCATTAGAATTCTTTAAGAAAAAAATCAGTAAAGGACCTGATTGTAATGCCAGAGGCACATCGAGCAAATGATTCTTCTTCTTCAGTGTTCCAAGCCCTTGAGGTTCATTGCTGCAGATATCAGTGACCTCCATTCATCTCTCTGGTTGGCCCTCTCTTTCCAGTCGGTGATACCAGGTGTTTGCAGGTCTGCCTAGACGTTATCTCTGCATCATCTTCTTGGTCTGCCTCATGGTCTACAACCATTCAGCTCCCTTGTGTATACAGTTTTAACCTCTCTGTCATCTGACATTCACTCAATATGCCCAAGCCATTTCAGTCTATTAGATCTCAAAATGCCAGTGATCAATGATGATTTAAACTGATTATGAATTTCGTTGTTGCATCTCACTTTCCATTTCCCACTATTTGCATCTCTGATGGGTCGAAAGATTCATTGTAATACTTCGTTTCTGAAAGTTTGCAATGAGGCTTCATCTCTTTTAATAGTGCTCCAAGTTTCAGAGCCATATAAAATGATTGGTCTTATCAAAGTTTTATATATTTTGATCTTGGTGTTGCGGGACAGAGATTTTGACTTTAGCAGATGTTGAATGGCCCAGTATACTCTATTTCCAGATTGTATTCTAGACTGTAAACATGAGGACTTCAATGAGTTGCTTTTTGCCGACAATCATATTCCATATTGAAAGTAATCAGCTGCAGGATCACATAAACCAACTACATGACAGTTGCCAAAACCAGGATAAGAAAGGTACTTATCAGAGAGCTGCTGTTTGCAGATGATGCTGCAATAACCACCCACTCAGAGGAGGAGCTCCAATGTTTACTATCTGCCTTTGCTGATGCATGCTGTGAATTTGGACTAACAATCAGCAAAAAAGAAGACAAAGGTTATGGTGCAAGGTGTTAATGACAGACCTACAGTCTACATTGACAGTGAAGAGCTTGAACCAGTAGACCATTTTATTTATCTGGGTTCCACAGTGAATAGTAAACTATCGCTGGACCAAGAAATCAACATCAGGATAGGTAAGGCAGCAATAACAATGAGCAGATTAACAAAGAGAGTTTGGGAGAACAGAAAGCTCACAATTAAAACAAAAAACAATTGTCTGTCAGACTTGTGTTCTCAGCACTCTGCTCTATGACAGTGAAACTTGGTCAACCTATTTGCACAAAGAAAGATGGTTAAATAGCTTTCACATGCGATGCCTAAGAAGAATACTTGGCAATAAGTGGCAGGACAAAATCACAAACACTGAGGTACTGGAAAGAGCAGGTAATACAACAGTCTTTTCCAAGCTCAGTCTACGAAGGCTCAAGTGGCTGGGTCACACCTGGTGAATGGAGGATGGCTAAGTTCCTAAGGACATCCTTTATGGTGAATTAAAGACAGGAAGAAGATGTCAAGGTCGACCTCTACTACGGTATAAAGATGTGTGCAAGTGGGACACGAATGATACAGGTATTGAGGTGGACTCATGGGAACCAAATGCCATGGACCGTGTTGTGTGGAAAGGGCATATCAGGAAGGGAATAAGACTAAAGGAGGAAATGAATGCAGAAAGGATGAGAGCTGAGCGTCTGAAAAGAAATGGATTAAACACAAATGTTGACAACAATGGTCCTGAAATCCCATGCTATCATTGTGTAAGACTTTTCTTGACATGGGCGGGTCTTGCTAGTCACGCTCGCCATCGCCATGGACTGTGAGTCTCATGCGTCCTCATAGCGCAATACTATCATCCGGAAAGACGGAAAGGTGCCACTGGAAAGATGGAAAGGTGCCAACCACATAAATGCACCTATACACATATATATGGGTATAATTTGGGGGAAAAATATAAGTTAACTACAAATTCTCTTCAAAAAGTCGCAAACTAATATCAGAGTTTACTGGTCGTTTTTGGTTTTACTAGGCAATTTTTTTTTTCTTTTTACATTCCTTAGTCTGTCACTGCCTTTGGAATGAATATTGCTTATACCTTGTCGAAATCAACACAAAGCGAGCTGCTGCTAAATCAACTCCAGGTGAATCAAACCTGGCAGGTTCAAATAGGAAACCTATGTTCATATCTCCTAAGCCACAAATGCAGACTTATAATAAACAAAATATAAATCACTCTCACCACACAGGTTTATCAGAATATGCTTCTCCATCGCAACCATACACCAGAATATGATGCACAGTAGAAGCATCTGCCAGAGCCTCAAATTTATCTGAAATTCCAAATACTGCAGTTAATACAACACAAAAATTGTCAATTTCTGGGGAAAGTCTGAGGCACATAAGATAACAGTAAGCATAGTAAGTTAGTATGAAAACAGTAAAAGATTTTCCACACCCGGATGTGCATCAACTAGATGCATGCTTAGCAGATTAATTGGATTAGAACTACACCCCAATATAGGATGTATTATTTTGTTTTATTTTAAAGCCTTACCCTGGCTGTCGTTGGGGGTCCTAATGTAACCTAACGGTTCAACAGGGTTTATAGGACTTGCACCTGGGCCCTTTTCCTTTTCATCTGATTGGAGGCACTTTGTGTAACCAGGTGTTTATCGCTCGCTGACTGGTCCCGATGGGGTTGAATGTCACTCAGACTTAATGAGTTGAGTTGAGTCCAGAATTGACATCACAGCACTTGGGGCATCCCCATGTGTGCTCCATCCTCATATTCAGCAGCCAGCGCAGAGTTCCAATGTTGATGGTACTGGTCACAATCTGGTTATATGTCCGTCTTGCCTTTCCTATGAGTGTAGTGAGTAGGCCAGACCCGCTGGTAACACCCAGGTGCCTCATTCTCTCCAGGCCAAAAAAATCTTCTTTCTCTACTAATTCCGTTGCTTGTTTCCAAAGGGCTTGACCACATCTGCCTTGTCTTGTATCAATTCACCACCCAGTGGTGCAGATCCAGCCAATCTGTCTGCCTGTTCATTACCCACTACGCTGGCATAGCCTGGAGAGAAGATCCAAAGTATGCTCACTACCAGTGACCTTTCCAATGAAGCTTGTCACTCTGCGCAAAGCATCCCTGTCTTCACCTTTCTAAGCATGCTTTCAGAGTCTGTAACAATTATGACATGTGTATGCATCTTGTTCTCTAGCCACTGGAGAGCTGCAGTTACTGCCTCCACCTCCATTTTCATGCTAGATGTTGTGGTGTCATATGCTAGGCTGTCCTGCACTAAAGATTTTACATTGGCTGACGCTATGAACCCCCAGGCTTAATGAGTCAATGCTGTCAATATCATGTTGACCTTGTTTACTTCTGAGGACATTCCTGGTATCAATTTCAGGCTGATGCAACCAAGCAGATCAGGTCCATGGCTCCATATTTTGCATAGTGATAAGTCATTATCTATGATTGTTTACCTCTCTAAAAACTAGAGTGCGGATTCCCACCCCAACACCTCCCTTTCCCTCTCCCTACCACAAGCATGTTGTAAAAATTGACTAACTGGGGCATTTCCTTTGAAGTCGGAGTGTATCTTCCTGAGAGGCAATAATAACAAACCAACAGTCTGCATATACATAAGCCAAATCTGTAAAACAGATATGCATGCAAAAACTCAAGTTCTGGAACAAGACCAAAATCTAGAAGTGGATAAAAAACCAGAAGCTTCCATGGAGTTTACACTTTACATCTGGTGGATGCTAAGATGATGAAGACATCTTTAACTCTTTGAGTCCCAGGGGGTTTAGCATCACAGGCCCAAGGGGTGATCAAGAAAGATGTAAAATCGGCGCATCTTGCGTTCATTGGGCTTCTAGGTAGGAATCTATGAACGTATGACGCGTTCCTTGGGACTCAAAGAGTTAAGGAGATCATCATTTGTCTTAGTTAACTGACAGGTCCTCCACATTACACAGTGAAGTCATTAGTGCTCCAATTTGCTACTTAGTATCTCTCAACATGTAGCGACTGATGACCCAAGTTCTGCATTGGTTTATTATTTTTCGTTAACTTTCTGGTCACCCTTGTAACTTGCTCTTGTTGCAGTCTGATCATGGTTACAGGATCTATATGGTTCAACTGCATCTAACTCAGTGTTGCTCAACCTTTTTACACCCATGATTACCCCAGAACAGGAAAAAATTGTATCGCAGCTTACCTTACAGGTAACCAGATACAGTAAGAAAAACAAATGTAATTAGCCGTTTATTCATCAAAGCCAATGTCACATGGTTACAATTTTCGGCTAATGTGACATTCTGTTTATTCCTGAGTTTAAGATGTTACTCCAACAGACTGCAATCCTGGAAAAGAAAAACTACCCAACCTAACCCGTTACTCGATAAGGTTGATCATTTCTGCAGCCCACCTGGACTTCATGGTGGCACACCAGTGGGTCACAGCCCACCGGCTAAAAAAATACTGCTTTAGCCAATTCTCATCAATGGCATGATGCTGGCCACATCACCCATCGAGTGACGAATGGTCAAACAATTTTGGTCTAGCCCTATATGCCCAATACGCCTGAAGGCAGGGAAAAGGGTCCTTTACTTCAATTTATTTAAAACTAATTCTCATCAATATGCATATAATCCTATTTCTGGTATAATTATTTCATAAATTATTTTAAATACTTACAAATATAGGCCTCGTCACCAGTAACTTTGTAGGCTGCGCACAGATATGAATCCGGCTGAAAAATCATATAAATTATTTAAATCTTGTCAGGTGTGGGAATACAGTAAAAATAATATAATTAATTTAAATCTTGTCAGATGTGGGAATTTACTAGCTTAATCTTATTGTGCAAATAATCTCTTATCAAAATTCTAAAAAAAAGCTTTCTTAAATTTTAAAAGTCTGTTACTTTAAAATAACTAGATTAGATTCAAAATAACCTCTTTTTTAGATTATAAATATCGTTAAGAATGAAAAAAATATGCCTGGTGGTTTAGTATCACAACTCCCTATTACTGAAAATGTCTCAAGTTTCAATTCTATATCACACAACTGATCAAAAAAAAAGTATCTAACATTTCTGAGTCACAAGCCTTTCCATACTATGTCATCTATCTACATGTCCAATCATCCCATGTCCCTTCCTGCCCAGTATCTCCTTCCTGCAAATACATATGTACTCTAGAGTTTCTACTGTTCAGATGTGCTATAGATATTTTAGTGATAGACCTCATCTTAGAGACAAGTGGTTTTGTGTCTTCTTGTTTGTAACTGTATAATTGGCTGTTGGGGTCATTATGCTGATTAAGACTTTTTAGCAGCAAGGCTCATTTTGTCATCAGTGACCGTGATAGTCTGACCAGTTCTTTTTCTCATCTGGGTGAAAACTTTTCATTACGATAAGCAAAAACAGTTTCAACTCTATCAACACTAAACAAAATATCATATATTGTTTGTTTACTCCATACATTTTTTTAAATCAAGAAATAATGACTGTTACTTAAAGAACTTTTTTCGGGTTTAAAATTTAAATAATGACTACATGAAACTGAAAGACTTAATTAAATGTATTTGCTATATAGAGAAAAAAGACTTGAAAAAAAAATGTACACAATCTGAAACATATCAAGGAGCAAGTTATAAAGCAATTAAAAGTTATAATACAACTATGTAATTATTTTGAATTGTTCTGTATCAAATTAGCTAGTTATACAGTAAACTAAGACTTTTTCCAAATGTCTAATGTTTTTTAATTTTTAAAGATAAAGCCAGATTCTGCTAAACTTATTTAGCAGTCAGATCATCTTCATTGCACATCGAACCAGTCTGTAAGCACTTGATACCTCTACTCAGCAAATTCTAAAAGGTGTAGTGGCTGTTGACACCAGTTCTGTGTGCTCATTTATTATTTTTTCTTTGGCTTCCTGCTCGTCTGGCTGCACTCCCTTTTACCTATTGTTCTCAATGTCTGGTCATCGTTGCAGATTCATTTATCAGATGATTCTTGCAAGTCTTGCTCCTCTCAGATAACTAATTTAGCATTTAGCATCATATATACAATCTGACAAGCAAAATACTGATCTACTAAATAAGTAATTTACTTCATTTGGCTGTGCACCCTTCATAAGGAGATCCATTGTCCAAGTTGTGTTTAGACTCTCAGGCTCCGGTTTAACTGCATCTGATGATGATGATGCATGATGGTGAGTGCCTTTTGCATGCTCCTCCAACTGAGGATTTGGTGGCAAGGGCACACTAACATCAGAGGGAAAATTGTCGCCAGTGAGTTCAGGTTTGGTATCACCCCAACAGTTTCCAGATGGGTTCTCAACTGATTGATCAGTGTAGAACATGATGTAGAAATTGCACATCTCATCCTTTCCAGTTGGTCTGATGAGAGTTAAAAATAATCAGTAACATTGTTCATCTCAGAATCAAAATGTAAAAAACATAATTGCAAAGGTGTGGGCAACTAACAGTTTTTGTTTTGTTTTTGTTGTTGTTGCAATAAATTTATTAGTATTCATTCGCATATTTGTATTTCAAGCAAAAGTTGATTAAATGTTTTAAGCAAGAAAGGCTGGCACAACACTAAGTTTGAGAATGAAGGTGGAGGTGGTCACTGCATCTTTACAGTAGTATGCTTTCTACAGAGTGACACACTCATTCCTTTGGACATTTTGAGTAGTGAACATCTTTTAGACCGCCTCTCAAGAGTGTACCAGTGTGTTCAGAAAGTGGCAATCTGACCAGTTATGCACCATTTGGGGAGGACAGACATGGTGTGGGCCCTTTAGGAGCATAAAAATAATGCAGAGGACGAATAGATCTTACAGTCTGGAAAAAGTGATGCAATGGGGAGGTACCAGAACATCTAGCAGAAACAAAAGTCAGAAGAAAACTACAGCTGGCATCCAAACAGTTGTGTCCCAACTGTTTTTTCAACTTATCCTGTAGCAACATACCAATGTAAGTTGTGAACCATCTCCCAGTTCTTAAAAAAGAAAATAGGTGCTTTTGAGCTGAATTTCTATAGATAAATTCTCAGAATACCATGGATAAAGAAAAGAAGAAATACTGACCTTTTAAAAGATTTAAACATCAAGGAATATGGGCTAATAAATAGCATCTTGCCTCAGAAGCTCAAATAGTTTGGTCATATCAAGCACCATGGCAGGTTGGAAAAAATAACAGCAGAAAGCATGTTACCAGGAAGGAGGGGCAGGGGCCAACCAATACGTAGATGGGCACATGATTACAAGTGACTCCTTGAATATAAAAGTACACAAGGCAGGAGAGCTGGCGAGAGACCGAGTTTCTTTCAGACAGACAGTGGTGAATGCGACATTCTGCAAAGGACCTGATACATGATGATGATGTCCCAATATTTCTGAAACTCAAAAAGATGCAAGGATGTTATATTACAGTACACAGAACATAGTACAGAAAGAAATGGACTAAAAGAATTTACCAGCAACCTCAGATCTGACTTACCCAACACTAACATCATGATCCATGGATGTTGAATCATATGTACATCTTGCTGCCTGAAATGATTGTGGTAGGGCAATTAGTTAACATGTCTAAGTAAGTAAAAAGACTTCTTCTTCCTTTTCATTATTTTATTTTAAACAATTTTAAACCATAATACTTATTACTGAGTATATAGTATTAACACCTGCGGATCAGAAAGGTGGGGTTTCGGGTCCTGATAGAACTGGGTTTTCTTCAAAAATGACCTTGGCTCCCAGCCTTGACTGGGTACCAGGTGCAGTCCTGGGAAGTAAAGGCAGCTGGCATGATGTTGACCAAATCAGACATCAAGCGCTGATTGGTCTATAAAATATAGGTCTAGCCCTAAATGCCCAATATGTCTGAAGGCGTGGAAAAGGGTCCTTTACGTTTTTTCATATAGTATTACCTCTTTAAGTCCCAGGGGGTTTAGCAACTCAGGCCCAGGAGGTAGTAAAGAAAGTAATAAAATTGGTGCATCATGCATTCATTGGGCTTCTAGGTAGGAATCTATGAACGTATGATGCTTCCTTGGGACAAAGAGTTAAAAGCATATTTTTTATGGGTTGGGACATGAGGAGTAATTAATTAGGTTAATATCAGAGTGGCCACCTTTAAATCATAAAAAATTTCCTGCACCCATTTTGGGCTAGGATGATCTGGATATATTATTTATATCCTGTGCCTCAACTTCCCAACCCAATTTTTACCTCATAGATCTCCTAGATAGCATGGAAGACAAGCATTAGGTAGAAAGTTGGACAGAAAACATGTGAGATCCATATAAACAGACAGGCATGAAGACTGGCTGGCTGATCTACAGACTGAATAGGCATTTGATATACCACCCAGGATCAGCTAGGAGTATACATTTCAGTAGAAAAAAGTTTCTTGAACAAGTAATAATCTCTGTACGGGTTCTAGGACTCCATTATGGGAAACATAAAAATAGACTCACTACATTAACAACAAGCATTTTGTAGGAGTAAACTAACTGAAGGGATTCTTTAAAGTTGGAAGTACATCTACCTGAGTGGCACAGTAACAGATGATGACAGAAGTAAAGCTGAATTCAAAAATGATAACGGGAATGGTTACAAATATCTTCAAAAGCACACACAAATTACTGACTTCTAGAGAGATAAACAAAACATTAAAAATAAAAACTGTAAAATGTTATGTCTACTCAATCTGCTGTATGGTACAGGAACTGGACTAAATCTTGTACTAAATCTCTGAAGATGTGGATACAAAAAATAGGTTGTGTTGCATGAGGAAAACAAAAACAACAAATACAGACTTTCTGAAGAAACTAGAAATGACAAGACAGCCGCTGAAGGAAATAAAAAGAGACAAGTGAAATATTTCGGATGCATTAAAAAACATAACACTATTATAAAAACCACACTGAAGGGACAAGCTGAAGGCAAATGAGCAAGCGGCAGACAGCGATTCAAGTTGGATGGTAACATCTAGAAACGGATGAACAGTAATCTCAGACAGTGCACATCCAGGGTAAAAGATAGTCTTAGTCTTAATCGAGGTTTCAACTTCACTGAAATCGGGTTACCTCATACTTGCTCCATTCCTGTGCCAGTGAAAATCAAATGTGTGTTGATACATTGCAGCCAACCTTCATTGTAGAGTGGCACCTTGTTGATACTTTGCACAGATTTATAGTTTGACTTTTACTATAACACACAAGTAAATACAAGAATGTGCATACTATGTAACCTCAAAGAGATCAACCAGAGTGCAAAGACTGTCTTAATTTATTTCCATAGAATGCAACAATATTTGTAAAAAAAATACTACTTACTAGTGAATCACCTGGCTTTATCTCAATCTTCTGTTGAACTGGATAGAAGGACTAGACAGAGAAAAAGTGCAATATATAAAATTATACTGAAACTTGAAAGATATGACATAATTATCTTTCCATTTTCCCTCAATTTGTATGTCTCTCAGCGTGTAAGCAAACAGGTGCAAATACCAGGACAATTCTGAATATTATCCAGCACCCATTTCATTCTTTCACCATGAGGAGGCTAAAACTAGTCACTTTCAGTTGTGACACAGCCCCATAAATGCCAATATATGGCCATTTCTGCAGTAACCTGTTGTCGAAAAGCATATCAAAATGCTATTGTTTCTTTGAGCGCCTGTGTAGCCTTAAGAAGGCCTGGGTGTGAATACAGTAACTGAAATTAACATTAGGGTGGAGATGGGGGTTGGAAACGTTCCATATGACCCCAATGGCCTTTTAAAAGTCAAGCTCATGTCAAACTTTCCTGTATGCCTCAGTGATAATTGTCACATGGTCATGGTATGAATTACCCAATGCATTCTGTTTATAAGGTCCCAGGGAATGCATTTTATATAATGCTTCACTCTGTTTACTGATGTACCCTTTTAAACATCTTTATATATGTCAACAACAACAACAACAAAAAGTTAAATAAATTCTAAAAATGTATTGGTGATTTGTATAAAATGGTTGTTTCAAAGGATTTTGCACTAATGCACGCACGCCCCACGCACATACACATGCATACACACACACACACGCATGCGCAGGCAGACATGTAAATCGAAAAACAATTGTAACTCATACCTGAGGCCACCTTGGATTACCTTTGCCAATTTCAATGTATGATCCATTATACAGATAACCGGTTATAACTTTACCTGAGAAGGAGAACAAGCAAATCACAACTATAAATGACAAACTTTTCTGTATTAACTTATAAACTTACTTTGTTTATAATTTGTATAACTATACAATGTTAATTACAATTTAAGATGTTAATTTTATGATGACATGAGGTGATTAAATTAAACTTACCACAGTTACTTAATTACTAAATGCACATGCTAGGTACATTATTAGGTGTGGAAGAATTCAACAAAGAAAGTTATAAGCATGCACCTGGAGTATATGGATTTGTCTATTCGTGGTTGGAACAAGCCAGATTGCATCTCTGTTGGCAGCATTCAGTTGACAGTTTTGGAGCACATGCTCAAACTGCAAGGAAACCTCTCTGTTTTTCCTACACCGAAAAGTTTAAACACATGTTGACAAAGTCTGTTGTGCCCTGTCATTAGTCTGAATATAGTACATTGTCCCTCTCTAGAAAGGTGATGAAGCAAATCTTGAAGAGCACTATTTGCAAAGAAATAAGCTGCCATCAACTCTGTATTGCAGCATGTGGTTTAAACTCCACCCTATGCATGTAACAAAATAATTCATTGAAAGATGAAAGTTCTTTCTTCACAGACAGTATCAGCTATCTCCTCAAGCAGTTAGATATGTGCCTGAATGCCTATGGCGACTGCTTCTGATGACTTCAGGTGCAAGCTTGGTATCTAAAACTGCACTGTGTAAACCTTTTGCTCCATAATTCCTATGAAGAAAAATATGTCCAAAGCCAATGTCTTGTGTACTATCAATCATTTCTGATACAGATGTTCCTTTATTCTATGATGTCAAAATCTTCCTTGATCTTCCTCTATCTCTCTTCGGAGCAAAAGGTGTTAAGATAAATACAGCACAGGAGATGTGGCCAAAAATCATAAGATGAGTCATGTGGTTTAACAAGAATTAGTTAAAGCAATGTTTTCCCATTGTGAATTTGAAGAAAGATGCAAATAATAGATTGTACAATTTATTTTTGGGTGTATACTACAGTAACAACTGATAAACTGACGCAAATAAATGAATCTTTAAATTGAATTAATTTAGAAGAATTAATTTATTTGCTTCATTTTAATCAATTGTTACTGTAGTATGCACCTGACAAGATACGTGAAATATGCTAGGTAAAGAATTAGTTATCTGAAAGAAGACTGTGTGTAACAACTTACCCAAGCTATGAGCATGTGGTCTATAAGCAAACGGGAAGATGCTCTGCTCCATATCAAAATCACAACTAATATCTACTGGGTATGCTGAAATGAAGAGGAAAACATAAATATTCACAGGGACATAAAAAAATAACACCACAGTGCAGTTATGGTTAAACATAACACCATGACTAATGAATAACAAGTCAAACCACTTCTTCAGCATTCTTAGCCCTTGAGGTTCATTGATGCATTTATCACCGGCCTCCATTCATCTCTCTGGTTGGCCTTCTCTTTCCAGCTGGTAACACCAAATGTTTCTAGGTCTGTCTTGACAATACCTCTTCATCGAATTCTTTGACTGCCTTGTGGTCTTCGACCATTCAACTCCTGTGTGTAGTTTTTACCTCTCTGTCATCTGACATTCTCTCAATATGCCCCAGCCATTTCAATCTGTAAGCCCTTATGATGCCAGTGATCAAAGGTGATTCAAACAGATTATGAATTTCCTTGTTGCTTCTCACTCTGCATTCCCCACTATCTGCATCTGTCATCATCATCATCATCAATTTCCACTTCTGCCAATAGCGTTGTGGGGAGGAACAGTTTGCGATCCATTGCTTGATGGGTAGCAATGGCTCCTGTCATTCTGTGTCGATACAGAAGCTCTTTAATGTCAACAATCCATGTTCTCCTAACTCTTGCTGTCACTTCAGATCTTTTCATGTGTAGTGTCTGTGTTGGTAGTTGTTCTGGTTGCATTCTTACTCAATGACCAAACCATCTGATCTTCTGTTTCTCAAAGAATCTGCTATATGGTGTTGTTTCTACAGTCTGATAATATCATTTCTAACTTTGTCTCGAATGGTTAAGTCAGCGGCTTTTCTCAGGCACCTCATTTTGTAGGTGTTAATTTTATGTAGGTTAGCCTTTGATAATGTCCAAGTCTGGCCCTGGTGGCACTGTGCTGGTATGAATATACTGTTTATAATCTGTCTCTTGGCATTCATACTTATGTTTTAATGTCTTAATAACTTGTCAATTGATACATGCACTGGCTCATTGGCATCTCGTTTCTATTTCCTGATCTATTCTCCCGTCCTCCGAGAATATACTTTCTAGATATTTAAATTCATTAACTCGCTTATGACAAGTACTATTCAACCCGATATCTAGCGGACTAGTAAATCTGCTAACCTGCATTACTTTAATTTTAGTAGTATTTATTTTCATGTTATATCTTCTGCATGTTGAACTAAGCCGGTTCAAAATTTCTTGCAGTCTACTCCCCTCATTATAGAATGGGCACTAATTGTCTGCATAAAGTAGCTCATTTATTGTGTTATTTCTTCCCAAACGTATTGAAAATTCTTGTTAGCCATTTGATGATAGTTTGACCAAATGCTTGAATAGCTTCTGTAGTTGGTCCATCTAAACCAGGTGCTTTGTTTTTAGGGCTCTTCTGTTTAACAGCTTTTACTTCTGATTTAAAAAAATGAAGTGGTTAATATAATGCCAAGCATGGTTATTTCTCAAAACATGTTTTCATCAATTTTTAGGCTGGGTTGATCTAGTGGCCCAAGTCATTATGAAAATTCTGTCTTGATTGGGATTTGAACCTCTAACTCCTTGGCTGGTGGGCAATCATGATAGCCACTCTGCTAGAAAAGATCCAATGATCAAGAAATGTGACTGGATAATGAAAGGAGGTCAAGAGATGAATCTGAAGGGAAATGTTCGACTGAAATGCCATGGTAAGAGAAAGAAAGCATGGAGATCCTCTAGAACTGACCGTTGAGGAACAAATGATAACTGACATATGTATTCTGCTATGAATATATGTCTATGATGTTTCTGAGCTGCCAATACATTCTACTAATAGGAAACAAATGGAATAAGCAAAGATAAACCAAACCCAAAGAAAACAAATGTCACAGGCCCAAGGTGCTTGGCCAGATTCCGTTCAAGAAATTGAAAAGACTGCAGAGGACAGAATGGACTGGAGGACTAGACTATGAACTCTAGATGGCGTACAACAGCGAGATAGGATGATAAGAGGATTAGACTGTAAACCCCATGTGGCAACTGAACTATCAGTATCCTGCTCGAAAATTTATTTCCATATTACATTTTTTTTATCTTGCAATATCTACAGACTATGTGACAGCTAACTAAATGAGAAATAGTGCCACTGTTAAAGGTTTCCCATTTATAATCTATCTTACCGACATACATTTTTATAATCTGCTTCACTGACTGTACATATTTATAATCTGCTTCACTTACATGGATTTCCCTTGGGGATGGTAAAACCAAGAGCTCCCATTAAATAGATCCCTGCAGCAAATGGCTGCCTGTGTAAAATAGAAAACACAATAAACAACAGTGGCTCAATTATTCAAGAATTGCTACTAAATTAGGAAAATATACATAATGAAAAGCAGACGGCAGGGAAGTCAAAATACTCAGCTCACAAAATCCTAGTCAGTACACTCCGTCCGGGAGCTCCATAGCGTAGCAGTCATACGTTCACCTGCAGATCCTAGGGTCATGGGGTCAGGTCCTGATGGAGTAGGACTCATGCTTCATGCAGAGTGGCATGCTTCACTGCGGAGGACGTGGGTGAGGAGAATTGTCTAGAATTTTTCTCCAGGATACGCAGGTGTGTTGGAAAATTAACAGGCTGACAAACTAGCTGGCTCTGCACAACTTGGTGGAATACTGATGCATGATAAGGCAGATGTGGTTAGTGCCTTGTTGGAGAGCGTGTGCATTTCAGAGGAGCAGATGGATCACCAGTCTGGTGAGAATGATGCAACAGGGAGTGACGAGGGGTTGTGGCAGATGCTCGAGGCTCAGAGGAAAGGCAAGACAGACATTTAATCAGAATGCTACTGGCACCATTACTATCGGAACACTTCACTGGCTGCTGAAGATGGGGACAGAGCGCTTATGGGAATGCCCCGAGTGCTGTGATGTCGGTTCTTGAATCAACTCAACTTAACTCAACTCATAGAGCCAAACTTTGTTCAGAATGACCTTAACTCTCAGGTTAGCCCAACCTTAAAATGGTACCAGGTAAAGTCCTGGGAAGTAAATGTGGTTGGCTGGATACTGACCACATCACCAACCAAGTGCTGATTGGTCTACAAAATATAGGTCTTTATGCCCAACATGCCTGAAGGCATGGGAAAGTCTCTTTACACTGTGTATGCTGTTTGGGTATGTGATTCATTTTTCAGCTCGAAAAAACAAAGGATGGTGTAATAAAAACAAAACATGTCTTCTGACCACATTAACCACCGAGACAGGTGCATTCCTACAGAATTACAATACATTAAATGAAGAACAGACACAAAAAAATCCTTTTTACCAAAACACATATTAAAATATTCAGTTGCACTGTACATCTCTCTGCTGGAAATTCAAGATTAGCAATGTGATAACCATGGAAATTTCAAATTTACATCATGGTCTTTTTGTATGTACAATGCCTGAGTGTTCCTTTAGTTGTTGTAATGGCTTCCGCCATCAACAATGTTGATAAAAATTGTGCTTTTTGAGTTATTTACCACATAATGAGTAGATATTTACTGAAACTACGAACTTAGTGAAGTATGTGATAAATAATGGTGAACAAACTTACTTCTTATTTGTGATATACACTCTTATCCCAGAATTGTCAGGTTTTGCCCCTTCTGTTATAATAGTAATAATATAAATGATTTAAATTACACAATGAAAAAACGCAAAAGCCAAAACCAGCAACATATTTTCATGCACAGACAGAAAGATAGACAGACAGGTTGAGAGAGAGAGAGAGAGAGAGAGACAGAGAGAGAGAGACAGAGAGGGAGAGAGAGATTGTAAACAAGAAAAGAAAGTTACAAGAAGAGAAAGTAACAAGCATATTATAATTCATTTTGATAGAAAAAAACATATTCAAGAGTGCGTGTGTGTGCGCATGCACGCGCGCGCGCGCACACACACACACACACACACACACACACACACACACACATATATATATATATATATATATATATATATATATATATATATAGAGAGAGAGAGAGAGAGAGAGAGAGAGAGAGAGAGAGAGAGAGAGAGAGAGAGAGAGAGAGAGAGAGAGACAGACAGACAGAGACAGACAGACTGTAGGAACAAGACCATGCAGCAAATTCACTGAGAAATAGAAGATCAAATGGTTTGGTCATCTAGTCAGAATGCAGCCACAACAACTACCAATGCAGGCGCTACACATGAAACAATCTGAACTGAAAGCAAGAGGCCTCCTAGGAGAACATGGATTAGTGACATTAAAGAGCTTCTACACAGACAGGGAAGGACAATGACAATTACTGCCCATCAAGCAATGGATATCAAATGGTTCCTCCCCATGTGGCCCAAAGGCAGAAGTGGAAGTTGATGATGATGATGATTTTTTAAAAACATAACACCAATGACATATGTCAACAAAAGCCACCATAGCATTATACTATACTGATAAGAAAACCTAACACAATTATAAATATCCCTGATCACTCAAATGTGTGAAATGTGTATGCTGCACTGCCACTGTATTAGTATGGTCTGTTATATTGTGTTGCACTCCAGAAATGTCAAAATTGCATTTCCACCCCTTGGTTCTTTGATGCTAAACCCCTGGTATGTCTGCAAAATGAAAACCACCTGATAAAGAATTTGCCTTAATGGACATGCCTCCAACATGCAAAATTCAAGCCCACTGCACTTTCCCATTGGGTTCTGGAGCCCCATTGTGTGGAAAACAATAATAGACCCACTGCCTCCCAACAAGCACTGTCATAGGAGTCGACTAATTGGGAGCCTCCTCTGAAGTTGGAGTGCAACTGCCCGAGCGGCAACGGCAAGGACTAACACATTGCATACAAATAAGCCGGAAAAAAACTCAGGCCCTGGCACAAAGACAAAGTCCGAATGGACAAACAACCTAGACTTTCCACCAGAGTTTACTGTTGCGTGCTGATTCGTGTGGATCCGGAATGGTTGTAACATTGTTAGGGACAATGTCATTTGAATTGTGTTTTTGGGAGTCCAGGGGAATGTCCTGTGACCTGAGTCGATATTGATGCAGTGTTGACTTAAGCCAGGAGACGTCGGGTTGGCTTAAGTCAATATTATTGCAAGGGGGTGTTGACTTAGGGCTGGAAGAACATACCCACTTCTCCTTAACATGCATGTCACAGAAGGCAACTAATTAAGGATTTGCTGAAATGTGTTGACAGGTGCCGTTATCACCTGATATATATACATATAAAATGACATGCAACTGCTCTTTAAAGAGTGGAAGTAGAAAGAGAAACAAAAAAATGAGAAGAATCACATACAAAGATTGTAACCCACAGGAGAAATGAAATAGAAGTAAGTGTTGCAACCTCAAATGTTTCACAAAATATACACTATGATAAAAGTACTTCTGCATTCATCCGAAGATGTAATTGTGTTGTGCCTGTTTACAGCATGGCTGCAATATTTGCCTTTCGGCCGATAAATATGACCAATGCAGCCTTTTGTAGACCGGGTTAGTGTTTAGTGTTCCCGGTTGATGACAGTATAATAACAGAAACAAATGATGAATTCAAAGCCAAATCAAACTCACCAGGGAAAGACTTCCCATAATGCACTTGCAAAACAATGGTTTTAATAGGTGACCTCTGACCTATTCTCAAGCCCACATCTGAAAAAAAGAAGTAATTATTTCACAAAAATATATGTTTACCACTTTACACAAATTACAGAATTTGTGAAGTGTCTTACAGCTTATAATGTGTGTCTTTCGTTTGCAAAATAAAATAAAAAAAATGATCTGATCCATAATATAGACTATTTAGACTTGCTAGAAAAAAACAAATTGTTCACTATCCAACTGCCCCCAAATGATGGCAGGGTAACTAACTACCGTCTGTACTTACCACTTCTGTATTGAAGGCAAGGGGGCATTTGAGCCTGAGGATTTTGGCTGTTGCCATGGACTATGCAGGTAAGGATTTTATTTTTGCCCCTGCAAAAAAAAATCCTCAACCTTTCCGAGGATTTGAAACTGGGTCTCCGCATGAGAGCCCAGCGTTCCTAACTGTTCAGCCAGTTGCTACTCTGATGACATTTACTCTTCAGGGACAAGAAAAAAAAAAAAAAAATCCTTAACAGTTGAAGTTTCAAAACTAAAACAGGCCAAATAGACTGCTGACCAGGCTCAATTTACCAGTTGATGCTAAATTTCAAAATGTCATAGGGATGCAGAGATGATGACTCATACAAACACACACATATATGCACGTATCCAGAGTAAAAAAACTAGCAAAACCAGGTATATCTACTGACCTCTGGGAAATACTGTTGGTGGAGCATTCTTGGCCCAGGCAAACAGAATTGTTGACTTGTAGCCTTTGCAAATGGCAGGACACGTCCTGAAGACAAATCAACTGAATATCATTGATGACAGTTTCAATATTTAGAGAGAGGAGCGGGTGGAGTGGGGAGAATACTAAGTTCATCCTAGGTTGAGAAAATACAATCTAAAATTTTGTTTAATGACAGGGCAGGGTCCTTAGCCTTGGTCGGCTGCTGATCTGTAAAGGAAGCGCTAATCGGAAAATGGAATGAGCACCGCTGTTCTGATTTGGCAACTTCTGCAGCATACTTTGCCTCGAAACTTACTGGTGTTACCTTTCCTCTGGAGTTAACAAAGCAGACAGAGAGACTGGGATCAAGCTGCATGGGTAGCACATTGTCTACTGATACTGCCCAGGCTTTGTGCCATGGAGGGAAGTGATTTCCTTCATGGCCTTAACCGATTTCACTATGGGCCGTGATTCTCATGCCTTCCTTCGGCAAAATGGAACCTATTGTTTGGAAAGAAAGATGGAAAAGTGCCACAAGAGTCTGAATGTGTGCCTTATTTTTTGCTTCATATTTTTTTTAAATCTATTTTAAATTACCATGACTATGTTCTGTCATATTCCTATAGACAGAAGAGTCACAATTTTGTGTATACATCCCTCATCTTCTTCAGCATTCCAAGTCTTGAGGTTCATTGCTGTAGATATAACAGAGATAACCTGTTTTCATTCATCCCTGTAATTGACCCTTTCCTTCCAGATGGTCACTCCAAGTGGCTGTAGGTGCTATGGTATCTCTACACCAGCAGGACGGACCCTAAAGGCATACACTTCACAGGGGCTCTGTGGCCTCTTTAGGAAAATAAAAAAAAATAAAAAAAACTGAATGAAATGTAAGATTAACAAATGACAAATCAGTGATATGCTAGAGTCAAGAACCCCTTATCAGTTACATCAGGTCTACATAATTTTTCACTACAAATCGATGAATCAACTGACACCGCTGGGTTGGCAGTTTTAATGGTATTTGTTAGCGGTATTTTCTTACAAAGGTATCATGAGGACCTTCTTCTTAAAAAACCACCAACCATCAAACACATCAGCAACTACTAAACTATTGAATTTCTCCCCCCCCCCCCCCCCCCCCCCAAAGGAAATTTCATTGCACAAATTCTGCACTCATTGTGCAAAAGCAATGATGGATCACAATGTTGCAGCCACTGCTAAAACTGAAAATAAGGCAAAGACCCTTTCTGGTAGACATTGCATTCTTCAAAGACAAGCTCTGGCCTCAAGGAAAATTCCTTCTGAGCTTATGACAGTGTTGATTTATGCCCTAAAAATAATAATATAAAATTATGACCTCTTAAAAGCCGGCTCTTCAAACTAGTGTGTCAATTTATGGGAAGAATTATAAGTTTTTACTGCTACACACTGAAGTTAAGTGGTTGTCTCAGAAAAAAGGCATTGATGCATTTGGGAAAACTAATTGTTTAAGTCTAGCATTTTGTTACCATTTTAAAAGGTGAAGACTAAGTGTGCAAACTGGTATATTTGGCTGACTGTTTTAGAAAAATTAATTAAATTAATCTGCAACTGCAAAGAAAAGCAGCCACAATTTTTTTTATACAATCACCCAAGTGTTTTCTTTTAGGTGGAAATTTATGTACTGGTTGGAGTGTGTGGAAAAGGAAAATATCAACTGTTTCCTTCTAACAGAAAGTTTCTTGGACGAAAATGACATAAAAATTGAAGAAAAATATACAGAACAACATTCAGGCACATCTTAAAGCTTCAAAGAACTCATGTGAACTTCATTTTCCAAAAGCTCAAGAGGTGTTTAGTGACTTTCAATGGCTACTTAAACTTAATGTATTAAGTGTAAACAAAACAAAACAAAAACTCCAGCTCAAACTCAACAGAATGCAAGGTCATCATATGTCTCACACATTGACACTCAATCTTGAACTAAAAAAAAAAAAAAAAAAAAACAGCATTCAAAAATTTTTTTTTTAATGTATCCTGTTTTTTTGGCAGCATTTACTAGATGAAGTCAACATCTTTACTGAATTTTGGAAGAATTTTTAAGTCAGACCAGGTTCTGACAATATCATGTGTATCGAATGTAGTTAAAGAATAAACTATTATTATGTTGCAGTCTGTTTTTTGCTTCTGATTACCATTCTCCATTATTATCATTTTTGATGGATCCAATGATTTTGTTTAAAATGTCACTGTCTTGTTTCAGGTTTTGAACAAAGGATCAACATCATGGCAGACGGGTGTAACCCATAAGTGCTCCATTCTTCTTCTAACTCAAGTGTGAGTCCGAAGAAGCTCAGCACAGTGCACAGGATCTGTAGCACCAGCGAGGATTCTAAAATACTTTGGGTCGATTTTTAACTCCAAATTTTTCCCAGGCAGTGCCGTTAGGCTACTCTTTTTGATTTCCAACTGCCAAAGAAATTTTCATGTGCGCAACAATGCACACAGGTGTCCGATCTCACTACCCAGAGACTAGGGATAATTACTGGAAGTTCAAGTCCAGTCTGGGTAGGAACCAAAGAAGGTGCAGTATGCGTTCCTTAGGACTGAAGAAGTACAAATAGAATCATTTGCATAAATATATGCAGAAATGATAAGGGGGCAAGGAAGGGAACAAACAGGCCACCCTTCCCTCCAAATACAAGTTAACTAAGTGCATGTTTAGGTCGAACACTTCCCACTAGTGCAGCATTATCTGCCATGGAATACCTTTAACTTTAGACATGTTTGTTTGTTTGTTTGAGTATCCAGAAGCCATGAGTTGTTAACCCTTAGGCTCGGTATTATGGATATCGCAACCCTTCGGCCTTGATTCCATTGTAAATACCGTAAATCTGGGAGAAATGTGGCTTTCCTGCCTACCCCCGGGAATGAACCCAGACCACAAGGAGATCGTCACCCGGTCTCCGCCCAATCCGGTTAAGCCAACTACGCTAGAGAGCCAGGCAACTTAAGACATTAAATTTTAACACAGAAGTTTTAAAAAAAAATTCCTGTTTTTAATCATAACATTAATTACTCTCACCAAAAAGGTTCATCAGAATATGCTTCCCCATCGCAACCATTCACTATAATATGATGTGCAGTAGAAGCATCTGCCAGAGCCTCAAATTTATCTGAAAATGGAAGTGCTAGTTAAAGATCACAGAAATAACAAATGCTACTACAGGTAAAACAACATAGAAATGCCAAATTCTACAGTTAATAGGGTACACAAATTTCCAATTCTATAGTTAATAACATATACATGTCTAATACTATAGTAAATGCAATACACAAATGTCAAATTATATAGTTATCAACATATAATTGTTCAATACTACAGTTAATGCAATACACAAATGTCCAATATTACAGTTAATGCAATACACAAATGTCAAATTATATAGTTATTAACATATAATTGTCCAAAACTACAGTTAATGCAATACACAAATGTCCAATATTACAGTTAATGCAATATACAAATGTAGACTTCTATAGTTAATAAAACATAAATGTCCAATGCAATTCACAAATGTCCAATATTATACAGTCAACACAATATACAAATGTCAAATTCTATAGTTAATACAATAGAAATGTCCAATGCAAAATGCCAATGTCAAATTACATAGTTATTAACATATAAATGACCAATACTACAGTTAATGCAATAAACAAATGTCAAATGCTAGTTCAATACATTTCAGAAATGTTAGACGTTACAGCTAATCGAATGCAGAGATGTCAAGTGCCTCATCCCATCTGGTGTAGTTCTGCTTCTTCTTTTGTTCACTTGAAATAAATTATTTGTATCTCTTTCAGGTGTAATGATGGAGAACATCATTTGTCATCATGTATGTTCCGTTTAAGGGAGTCGCCGTGGTGTAGCGGATAAACATTTGCCTGCGGATCAGAGGGTCATGGGTTCGCGTCCTGATGAAGTCTGACTTTTTTTAAAATGACCTTGACTCCCAGGTTGACCCAGCCTTGAGTGGGTAACAGGTACATGCACTGGGAAGTAAAGGCAGCCGGCATGAGGCTAACCACATTGCCCAATAAGTGCTGACTGGTCTATAAAATGTAGATGTCGCCCTAAATACCCATTATGCTTGAAGGTTAACTAACTAACTACGCTTGAAGGTGTGGAAAAGGGTCCTTCACTTTACTTATGTTCAGTTTAATGTCTTTATTATTTTATTTTTAACACCATCACATCTCAAATTCCTCTAGTTGTTTCTGTTCAATATGCACATAATCCTACTTCTGGTAAAAATTATATTCCATAATCATTTTAAATACTTACAAATAAAGGCCTCGTCAACAGTAACAGGATAGGCTGCGCACAGATAAGCATCCGGCTGAAAAATAGCAATAACTACAAGTGAAAATAGCATGAAATTACACTAGTTTATTCTTGCAGCAAAGTGAATCTATCATGAATATCAAAGCAGAGCCGACTCCCTTGAGCTGCTACATTTAAAATGTACATAAAGAGCTGTTTTTAAAATGAAATCATTCTTTTGTAACAACACTTTCTAATTTTAATTTACCCTCTCTAGCACTGAAGTTTCACATTTGCCTGTTACTATGAATATATAAAGTGTGATCCCTTGTAATAAAACCTATGAAACACAAATAAAAGTCTCCACTAAATTTATACCAAATAACTTGACATACAGTGAATAAGACTAAAAAAAAAAAACAGTTTCAAGTGCTTTTTTTTTTTTAAACTCTTTCTTTTTTAACACCCACCCCCAATAATTATTCAAAAATAAAGGCTAGGAAAAAAAGTTTATTTATTTTAAATTCCTCCATATAAGCAGTGAACTTCTTGTTTGTCTTCTTTGCATTTAATGGCTGTGAATGCCGGCAGAAAGTCCTAGCTGATCTTCCATTTTGGAATTTGGCTTTGTACCATGATCTGAGTTCTGCGTGTACACCCATTTTATTGCCTTATTTGTGTGCAGTTCTTGTTCCCTGCCTCTCTAGGATGACTGTGGCCATTGTTTTATGGGAAATGATGAGTCTTTTTTGTCCCTTTATTTATAGATGTTGCCTCCCGAGACCCCTTTAGGGCAACTACATGTAGACTTGTCAGCCCTCAAGGGAAGGCAGGGATAGATCAAGGGCATTCTCCACCATTTCAAGAAGGCTTTTATAAATGCAGAGCCAACACATGGTGCTCTGGTCCTGGGCTCACACCAGGAATTGGTATGAAGAAGACGATGGCGAGGATCGATGATGACGATGACCGCAACACCGAAGAAGAAGAAGTGAAAGAAGATATGGTGGGAAAAGGCTCTGGAAGTAAAACAAGTTTAATTATTTAGATTTTTAATATTCTATATCAGAAAACTCATTATACTGTGAAGAAAGGCTAAGGCCAAATAGAATAATAGATGCTAGAAAATGTAATAAGGTCAGCATGGCTGAAAGCTACAACTATGAGATGAGATATTTTGACAATTCCACTAAATTTCGAATTCAACAACACACAAAATAACTGACAAGTAAGAGAAAAATAATGAATTACTAAATAAGCAATTTACTTCTGTTGGTCTTGCACCCTTCATAAGGAGATCCATCGTCCATGTTGTTGTGTTGAGACCCCGAGACTCGAGGCTAACTGTTTCTCTTGATGGCGCAAGATACTGACTAATCTTTGCATCCTCCTCCAACTGAGGATTTGGTAGCAAGGGCACATTAACGTCAGAAGGAAAATTGTCACCGGTAAGTTGAGGCTTGTTATTACGCCAACAGGCTCCGTATGGGTATACAACTGATTTGTCAGTGTAGAACATGATGAAGAAGTTACACATCTCATCCTTTCCAGTTCGTCTGAGCAGAGTTTGAAAAAAAAAAATCAGTAACATGGTTTAATCCAGAATTGAAACACCACAAACTACAATTTTAAAATGATTAAATAAAATAAAAAGTTAGTTGTGTATCCTTTACAGGGGGTTACAGGCAAGGCAAATGACTTACAGACAAAAACTGCACGTAGCAAAGAGTTGAATGGGAGGAGACAGCAAGGTAGATGAGGTAAAAATGTGGAGAGAAAATATACAAACAGACCTACAACCAACACTTTAATTCACAAACCTGAAAGAGAAAGCTAATCATAGAGAGTCACAAACCTGAAAGAGAAAGCTAATCATAGAGATGAAATGCTACAAACACATTTAATTCACAAACCTGAAAGAGAAAGCTAATCATAGAGATTAAAAGGCTGTGCGACTGCAATGGAGCTCAAGTACTCAAAATGCTGAAGAAAACAAATATCCTTACATTGTAAACACCAACATGTGTTGGCTGCTTGTGGTTACACTTGGCAATTTTTTATGTTTTTGGTAGTTAGCCCGTGCTTTCTGAACACACTTATCCCATACCAATATTAAAATAAACACAAAGTGGTGTGCTGCCAAATCCTTCACAGCCTAATCGAATCAGAAATTATGAAACTACATTCATACGCAAAAGCCACAGATGCTGATTAAAAAATGGACTTTAAAACACACACTGACAACATGCCGCATTGTAAATAGTGTTATAGTTTTAAAACACATTTGTTTTTAACTATGCTGGGTAAGTTTTAAAGCATATCCTGCCTCCAGTTAATCATACTGCAGTAAAGATGTTCATAGAGTGTTTCTGTAAATTGTGAACTGTATTTTTATTAATAAAATAATGTTTGCAATTCTTACAACTGAAAATGACATCAAGTAAATCATCTGTTTCATCAAGGGTCACCAAAGAGAAGGTCAGGCTCCCCACAACTAGCACTGAGATATGTTCTCATTTCAAAAGCAAATCTGACTGTCCATAAATAATTCTGGACATTTGTAGATTGTAACATTTTTGACAAATCTACGAATGTCCAGAACTGTTTAAGCCAAGGGGGAAAAATTAACAATGCGAATATATTGTAGTAAAATTTCCTCTGAAATCATGAAGATAGCCATCTCTTCTTTGCTATTCCGCACTCAAGCATACAAAGCTTTTGTAAAGTCTATTGATTCAAGAACTGACATCAAAGCACACCTGGGGCATTCTCATAAGCGCTTCATCCATACCTTCAGCAGCCAGCACAGAGTTGGAATACCAAAGGTGCCAGAAGCAGCCTGATTATACGTCCGTCTTGCTATTCCTCTGAGCGTTGAGTATCGGTCAGACCACCTCGCTCCTCCTCACTGCATCACTCTTACCAGACTGTGGTGATCCATTTGCTCCTCCGAATTGTGCACGTTCTCCCATAAGGCCTTGACCATGTCTGCCTTATCAGTATTCCCCCAAGTTATTCACAGCCAACCAGTCTGTCTGCCTGTTCACTGCCCAACACACTGGCATTCCCAGAAAAAAAGATCCAGACAAATACTCCTCAACTGTATTCTCTGACGCAAAGCATGCCACTTTGCACAAAGCATGCCTGTCCTCACCTTCCTTAGTATGCTTTCTGAGTCAGTTACAATCACAAGGTGTATGTATTTCTTTTTTTTTCCTCTTTTCTTTACTCCTGGAATGCCTTGCTGTGTCAGGGCAGAAAGAGATCTTTGGAACAAGCGCTTCTGTTCACTTCGCATAAAGTATTTTTTAAGTGTCTCTGAAATTTCTGCAGTCCATCTCTCTGACTCTGTTACAGCTGTACTGTATAACATTGCTCTCTGTGGTGTCCTGTCTGATGCAAATCTTATTACATGGCCAAACAATTTGACTTATTGTCTACCTATACAGTTCAATATTGGTTCTGTGCTGACTCTCCTCCTGATATTATGGATCCTAAATTGACCTTTCCTTTTTCCAACTAAGATAGCTGTGTTCTATAACCAGCAGAAAGCTGCAGTGACTGCCTCCACCTCCATTCTTAAGCTGGATGTTGTAGTATTATATGCTAGGCTCTCCTGCACCAAACGTCGACCATTAGCTTTTGCTTAGAACCCCCAAGCAATTCTTTTGCCTCTTGACACTGAACAGTCTGTATAAATAATCACATCTGAATAAGCATTATCTAAAATTATTTCCTGAATATCCACCTCTATGGCACCTGATAGTCACTCTGCAATCCCAGCTCAATGCGGTTATGACTCTACACAAATCTGACTGTTGAGTTGGCACTCTGATCCACTCCTCTTCTCATCTAATGTTCAGAATGATGAAAATCTGTCTGACTGTGTCTTCTGTCTGGCATCAATGACTTCCCTCTTAACAGCTGCTATGTTAGAAAGACCATTATCCATGCTCAATGTCCCCTTGACAGAAATCGTCTTAGCATGGATTCAGTGAAATCAATTTCCTTTTTGAAATTCAATTTCAAACATTTCAGAGTCATTTTTATGGACATTTGATGCAAAAGAAAGACATTCTAAAACGATTAGGTCATCAGAAAAATATGAACGAAGACAATTTAAATGGAATTTAATTTTAGAAGGGTACTTATTTCGGAAGATCTAAATATGGCAAGACCACCCACACCCTAAAATAATGTCAAGTGTGGTTTAAAAAGGTAGTGATTATTCACCTAAGTCTAGACAAGAGACAAGAGGCAGCTCCGAGGAGTTCACTTTGCATATCAATATCATCAAAACCCATTTATATGACACATAGGGCCTATGTCCAATAGAAGATAAAATGCAAAAGAAGAGTTTACTATAGTGTAAAAGAGAAAGAGCCTTCAGGCTATCCGGCATATAGGGTTAGACCTATATTTTATAGACCAGTCGTCATGGTGATGTGGTCAACATCACGCCTGCTGCCATTACTTCGTAGGGCATCACCTAGTACCCATTTAAGGTCATTTCTGAAAAGAGTCTGGTTTCTTTCAGACCTGAACCAATGATCTGCTGGCAAGCATCAAGCCATGACAGCTCCAGTATTACAGCGTATAAGCACAAATACTAACAAACAAATTTTAACTGATGTGCCCCAAGTAACTCTAAAATTATACATCACATCACAGAAGAACATAAATTGCTTGAATCTCCCAATCACATGACCATATTTACTTATGGGGTTACAACTGAAACTGATCACACGTCTGAGTAGTTTGACATCTAAATGATAGACTTTCGGGGATCCACTGGCGTTAGTGTGTTTTCGTCCATCACAAGTGATAAAGGTCACTGAACTTCATAACAAACAAAAAAAGGTAAGTGATTATAAGCATGAAGTGGCTATTGAGTCTTACTAGCGCTTACCAAACAATCTATTAACCTTTCATCCCAGAATAAAAGGATAGGAACAAGCAAAATTTTACATAAAGGTAACAACGACAGACATAACACATACACACACAAAGTTTACCTGCAACTTTATCTTTGACTTACCCAACCCTAACATCATGATCCATGGATGTTGAGTCATAAGTACATCTTGCTGCCTGAAATGGTTCCAAAAGGAAATCAAGGTTTACATATGTAAAAAAAAAAAAAAAAAAACGTTGAATCAAGAGTAGACATCACAGAGCTCTGTCCCCATCATCAGCAGTAGAGTTAAATTATCATGTTACCAGTAATTGTATGATTACAAATTTTGGTCTCTCCTTTCCAGTGAGTGCTGAGCATCAGCCAGATCCCCTGGTCACTCATCACAGCCCCACTCTTCTCAGAATGTAATGATCCTAATGTGCCTCCTCACTGTTCACTCACTCCTAAAGGACCCTTACAACATATAGGTTATCATGCATCAGTTCATCCCCCAAGTGGGGCCGAATCAGCCAGTTTATCTGCCTGTTCATTTCCCCAAAACACTGGTAGGATCTGGAGAAAACATCCAAATGGTGCTAACAACATGTGTAAATAAGTAAAGCAATTGTGGTGTCTTGAAATGTTTAGAAATAATTTCAGTTTTGTGTGATTCTCTGTAACAGTGAGGCTTAAAATAGTGCTCAGAAGGAATGTTCAGCAAGCATCTTAAAGAAAGGGTCACTGCAGAAATTGCAACTCTAAATCTAGACATGATTCAAAAGACTTGGAAGGAAACTGTAATACCATTAGGGCGTTACCATAGTACAAATGGTGCCTATATTGAAGTGGGCTATCCTCCGAATAACGGGCACATATTATGGCGGCCAAAAACAGGGCCTCAGTCACATGTCAACTGCGCACTTCCGGCGACCTAATTTGCAGTTTTCCGACGACTACCACCACCGCCGAGAGTCCTAGATGGCTAGGACTCATGAGCAAAGCTGCAGGAGATGCGGAAGCTGCTGCTCGTGAATCCCAGCCATCTAGTTTAGCCCCAAACCATGCCACGTTCTAAAGTATACCTACTATGCCTAAAACTGTCAACTTTTTTTGAGATTTTAACTCTTTCAGTCCCGGGGGTTTAGCATCTGAGATCCAAAGGGTAGTAAAGAGAGAGCTAAAACTGGTGTATCTTGCATTTACTGGGATTCCAGGCAAGAACCTATGAAAGTATGATGTGATCTTTAGGACTGAAAGAGTTAAGACACCACACATACATATCCATTTAATACTTTTTTTTAATAACGGTTGAAAATCCCAGAGATATTCTAAAAAGTTCTACTCTTTACAATTTCAAATGCCAATAGATTCTTAATTTTTGTACAATGTTCTGGAGACTTTCTAATGTTTCACCTTTATCTGAGAAGGCACCTGATCCACAACCCAAGACAGAGACTCAACAGAGTATTCTTTCCACAGGTTACTTATCTAATTCATATTAAAATATAGAAATAATTAGGTGAACACCACTGGCAGTTTATTCCATTGAGATAAAAGGAAGGAACACATACAGTCTTAATCTGATTTCCTAAAAAGCAACAATTTTTAAGAAAATCATACTT